AATTGCTCGAAAACCATAAAAAAGTTTAAAAGTTAAAAGTCGAATAGATCAAATTTATTACGTGCATGCATAGTTTCCCATTCGCAGTTTCCAGTTCCCAGTTCACAGTTCGCAGTTCGCAGTTCGCAGTTCGCAGCTCCCAGTTCGAAGAGAGTTTAAAACTCGGAATTGGTTCAAATAAATTCCATTTTCAGTTCAAATTAATTTTCAGGGTTGACTCTTAATAAATATTGAAATTCAAATTTATTACCATTGATATATACGTATATAAAGGCAGAGGGTAATTGAGAAAACAGTTGCTCGTTGTTCATTTATATATCAATATATATCAGTTTATGACTAATTCTAGATACAATTTTATGTGGTATATATATGTATCATTTTTATAGTTTTCAATAGTATTTGAATTTTTTTTAAGTGGAGACAAACACAGGAAACGGAAACACCATACCTAGGGTGTCTACGATTGAAAAGCTCTACAAACTAGATAAAAAAATATTTGCTACAAATACTTAATGGTGTATTAGACATCAATGAAGTATAACGTACTTACAGTTTTCAATTATTACTAATAGATTTTTTTACCTGGAGATAAGCATAGGAATTAGTTTTTTCAATTTTTAATTATTTATTAAAAGAAAACTCAAGATTTACTCGAGTCACTTCAAGTCACTCGACTTCAACAAATTGCTCGAAAAAGTAAACACAGGCATCATATGATTGAAGAGCTCTAAATGCTGCGTAAGAAATCTTAAGTTTGAACCTATTGTTATATTAGAGCTCTGAAAACTGCTGAAAAAGTATAACGTTTTAAACCTATTGCTATATTAGGTTTCGATAAAAAATTATTAGCATATTATATATGTTACTATGTATACATAATATATATGTTATTTATATAATAATAAATTACATAGTATATGTTTATATATATATATAATATATGTATATATATCAATCAATCAATCAATCCAGTACGTTCCCAGGGGAACATTGGGCCATAACGAACTTTTTCCAACTGTCACGATTTTTTGCCAGGGTTTTAATTTCTCCAAAGGTTTTTCCGCTTACTTGGATTTCTTTCTCCAGTGTTCGCTTCCACGTTTGCTGGGGCCTACCAGGTCTTCTGCTTCCATATATTGCTATGTATACTATGTAAATGTTCATACGCAAATACACAGAAAACGTCATGCTCTTCTTTATCTCTAAGCTATTATAAACAAAATTCAATATATGATTCTATATCATTTATAGTAAAACTAACCCATAATTAACCAAATAACTGATCTAATCAATAAAATTCTTCCATGAAATTAATGCAATTTGTCTATAACATACTTTTTGTTTAACTTGTCACCTGCATGTATTATTATTAAAGATCAGAAAGCTAAATAGGTCTCTACGTTATTTTTCATGTAAATCTACAAACAAGTTAGAAGAACTCTTTTGCATGCCTTAAAAGTGAATTGTTATACCAAAAGTTAAATAAAACAGTACGCAACACAAAAAAAAAAAATAAATTAAAGCCTTTAAAGACATAACCACTATCTAAAATCTATTACCGAAATACAAATATGATTGCTAAGCTCTTCAATATGTTTGAAGGATCTGTTTTTTAATAGTGCTTCTTTAATTAATTAATAGTGCTGATTTAGTAAGCAAATCAAAATCTTGCCGTAGGATCTTCGATTAAAATCTCTGCAATATTTTAAAGTTGGAATAATATTATATTCCTAGTCATTTTTGACCATAAGTCAAAACAATTAGAAGCAATGCTTTATAAAAGAATCAAGAAAAATATTTTGTGAAGGACAATCGGGGTACTATCAACCATCGTAACGAAATAGTAATTCCATGACTGATCTTTTATGCCGTTTACTGACCTTAACTGAACAGAAAACACTAACACTTCGAGTGCAGATAAAAATATCACCTGTTAAGGATAATATCACCCACCCATCAGGTGGAAATCGAAACTTTTCCATCTGCTCGATTTGATCAAGAATACAACGGTTGTTCATCTCTAAGCCAAACAGTTATATAAACTGTGGCTATAGATCTTATATGCTTTAAAATATATCCCACATGTCGTGTTTTCCGACAGACTCATTTTGTTGATAATGTAAAGTAGAACATGATAATCTGTCCGATAACCTGCAAACAAGTCCAAATACTGCATATCGTCTACAAAGAATCGCACCTCCTTTTATGTGTGTCTCTCTGTATATATAATTTTTAAAGAAATATATATAAAACTGAATTTGTTTATTGACATTTCTTAGAAACTTTTAGCTCAGTTTTTAAATTGAAAAAGTTTTAAAAAATTCTTACTCTCATAAATATTTTTATTTGGTGTTTAAATTTTCTTAAATTTATTATCTATAAGATGCATATGTTTTATTGCTACAAAATTTCTTTAATACATCCATATAGTCATATGAAAGAGGGGAACAATTCCATATTCATCATTTTGCAATAATTTTTTATAAATGGATTTTATGCAGTCCTTAAAACTTTTCATTTTTTATGCATAAAATTTTGCTGTCGTTTATATTAATTGCTTTACGAAAATATTGGCTTGAATTTCCAATAATAAATGGAAAAGAGAATTTTAAATATATTTTAAAAGCATTTTTTTACAGTTTGCATATGTATATATACAATAAAATGGTATATCGAATAATTTTTATGTATTCTTAACAATTTTTCAAGCATACAAATGTCCTTTTTGTAATTACACTTTTAGGCAGAATATAATGGTTTATGGATAACAACTCTCTTGATATAAATAAGTGATAGTTTTTTAAAATTAGATCATCAATATCACCGAACTCATTTCGAACAGCTCATTCGTAAGAGAAGTTAAAGTCTTTTCTGCTAACAGCCGATGTGAAAAAGATAATCATCCTCAATTATATATAGGGAATGATGTTCTTTTTTACCAGTGGACTCCTCAGTGTAACGAAATGTTAATTAATGTTCGAACCCTACAAATACTAATAGTAATACTACACTTTTCGCATATTATTATCCGATAATATAAGAATCTGAGGCATTGAATAATAGAATAATAGATACTCTTAAACATTTTTTTGAACATACTGTTTTTTAATTTATTGCTTTCATGAACAAAATTTATTTATTCATTTTTAAACGCGCTAATTGAGATATTATTTAACTAAAACGGAACTTTTTAATATTTTAAAAAAATATATTCTATTTTCACCTATATTTCGATTTCAGGCTATAGTCATTTACTGGGTACCCTTTTACTGCGTGTTAGAAGTTTTTAAGAAGGAAATGGGACCACTTCCATTCTGGTTAAAATTAATTTATGAACTCGCTAGATATCTCATATATAGATCTCAAAATTATGATATCGCAACTTTCTAAACTAATTTAAAAAACATATTTCATTGTCACATTTATTTTCATTTCAGTCTTTAGCCATTTTCTGCGTACCCGTTTTATTAGTTCTCATAAAAAAAATGAGACCACTTCCTGGTCGGGTTAGCGTTCAGTGAATATACAGTGAATATCTCATATATAGATCTCAAAATTACAATTTCTTTTATAGCTGCAGAGATTTGCTTTAAAGAACTTTATACTCGTAGAACTTGTTTTATCTTCGAGTATATTTATATTTTTATTTATAAATAAAATTTAAAAAGTAGCGCATAATTTCAAACCAACAATGCCACTTCATTTACTGTCTTAATACCGAGAAGATATCTCTACTGATATCACTGCTGGTCATCATATCAACTCAATAGCGTAAAGATGGTAAAGATAAAAACTTAACAAAAGTGAAAGGTTGAATATGAAATATGCGGTTCTTTGAGTATTTAATTAAAATCTACAGGACAATTAATTAAGACTTTTATTTTGGTCAAAAATGGCAAGCTGTGCGTAGGTGAAAAACTCAATTGATTTTAATGTCAACACTTAAGGATTTACTGCACAGCTTAATTATTCATTTCAAGGACAATAAGTCAAGGAAAATATGCCTCGAATTAAGATTTTTTTAACTGACACAAAAAAGAAGTTAAAATTATAAAATGAAGAAAGATTAAAAAATAAATACTTTAAGGAGTTTAATAAGAAAACTGGAAAATATTTTTATTAACGTTAAAATTATTAAATACTTATACTATTTAGATACAATAGTTAGTGTTAGTTAGCAGCGTCAGTACTTCATAGTTGTGGTCACTTAAAATAGAAAAATGAATAAAAATTTTATAAAGAGGTTTTTTTCGAACAGTAGTGAACTACAACAACAAAAAATTTTTTTTTTTATATTATTTTAATTAATTGAATTTTTGGCTGACCATACAGCTGTGTCGAATATTGCCAAATACCCATCATCAGTGGTCTTGGAAATAATTCTTGTATTTTATTATACGTAAATAACTATTTTTGAGACTACAAGTACCAGGATTCGAATTTCGAGTCCTGCCCAATGTGAAGCTCAAAATAAAAATTTTATAATAATTATTTTAATATTTATTTTAACATTTATAACAAAAAATATTTGATTTTTGATATTAAATATCACTGTATTTTCTAATAGATATTTATCTCTTTAAGAAATGTCCCCTAAACCTATTAATTTCGTTAGCAATTAGTTTAAATATTATTACTGTTTTTCATAAGCACAGTTTAATGAACCAAACACATTAAAATAATATTAAAATTATTATACAATAATTCACTATATAAACAAAAATAAATTCTCATACACAATTATGTGTCTCTTTAGAGTGTGCTGTGTGTGTTGCATTCATTTTAAGAAAACACACCATTAAAACTTGTTAAACCAGAAACCTCAACAATTTCTTGAAGTGTATGCTAACTGCTGTGATTAATGCATTGTGTTGGTTGAAGTGAACGTGAACGTGAGGACATAGAAAGCATTTAATTACTTGAATCCTCGCATTCAGTATAATTGCTCGTTCCATAAATACAAACAATAATACACAAACAATCTCATATACAAACAGAAACACAAACACATAAACGTAAACGTAAACGTAAACAACAAACATGAAAGTGGAAAAACATATTTACCCATACGCACAGAGAGAGGGCACAAATCAAGTAAACGCATAAATATTCATGTATGTGTGGTGTATGTAAATATTATGGTAATGGTAGACTTGATCAAAGACCAAAATATGCATACGGAACTTTGTAATTGCGCTCGTTGGTAGGGGAAGGAGAAGGTCAGCAAAACTGGTGAACTGTAATTATAGGGTTTTCACATTCTTAGTTAGTTTTGTGGATGTTAAATATTTGTGGGTAATAATTAATAAAATAATTTAGGATAACTAAAATTTATTTTTAGATTTCTTGAGTTAAAACTTATAATGCGGCTTTTACGTACCTATATGGGTCATACAGCGAAATGATTTTTGATTAATGATGTGACTGAATTTTTTATTATAATAATTAAATAAATAACTTAAATTGAAATAAAATAAAAATATTTATATCTCCGGAAAAATGTTTGGATATTGAAAAAAATATTGGTTTGCAGTTTTCATTTTTAACCAATTTTAAAATGACCATACTTTGTGTTCTTTAATTAATTATTGATTATTAATTATTGTTAGAGGATGTGGCTATGCGACCGAGAGGTCTATTGTGCGTCAATAAAAAGTAGTATAGAACCTACTTTACAGAGTTTATTGCCTCTTCTGTAAGAATATACATTTCCAGGAGCCTATTCAGTATATGCATTAGCGCAGGACATCTACAGTTTGCATCTGTAAGTGTATCCAATCTTGTAAGGTTGTGCTGTAGTTTACAGTGCTCTGTTAGGATTCCTGTGACGATTCTAAGTTTTCCTTTTTATAGATTCATAAATTCCTGATATCTGTTATTGTTATAGGTACTAATAAGTGATTTGGATTGTTTTAATCTTAGTATATTATCCTAGTAACACTTTTTATTCTGCTTCTCCTTTATTTTTATGAGAGCAAGGAGCGTACTATGTCCTAGTCCAGAAAAAGGTTTCGGGCCCATCATCGGTGTGGCTGCTTCTTTTCTGGCTAGTTTGTCAGCGTATTCGTTTCCGCGTACGGCAGCATGTCCCGGTACACAAAGAACCGACACCTGATTAGATTCGGCAAGCAGATTTAACTTATCAAGGCAGTCTAGCACCAGTCCTGAGGTATTCTGATGCGAGCTTAGTGCTATGATCGCCGCTTGACAGTCGTTTAATTAATAAAGACTTAAATTTTTTACATTGTGAAGATAGTTCATCAAGCATTTTAGAAATGCTTAACATAAAAAATTGTTTATATTTATATTTAAAAAAAAAATTTTAAAATAACTTGATTTTTAATGACCGTTTTGACGAAAGAAACTAAATTATTAATATAAAATATAAACTATTTAAATAGAGAGGTATTTCGAACAGTATTAAATCACAACAATAAAATTTTATTATTTTTTTAATTAATTTAATTTTTTACTGAACAAGTATTTACTGTTTCACGTATTGCCAAATACCCATTATCAGTGGCCTTGGAAATAATTCTTGTCTTTAATAATTTGTAAGTAATTTTTTAAGACTGCAAGTACCAAGGATTGAACTCGTGCCCTGTTAAATTTGAGGCTCAGAGTCAGCGTTCACTAGCTTACTAACCCGAAGCTGTAGTTACTTTTTATGTTCGTAAGTTTTTCTGGAATTTTGTTAACTTACTGTGAAGGTTGATTAACAAATTAATTTGTTATGTTATATTAGAACGAAGTCAAAAACGAGCTGTTGAATAATTGAATTAATTAATTATATTTTTATTGTTAATTTCGAAATTTTAATACCATTCTTTTGTAGAGGTATTATTTATTGCATGATTTTTTTTATTTTATTATTTAGAATTTTAAATTTTTCGATACAATTTAATCCAGATGACATTATTGTTTGAAGTGTTTTTTTAAAATGGTAACTATTTCGAAACGAAGTTTTATAAACAAAGTAATTAATGGCGAAAATTAGTAGAAATAATTAGATAAAATTTTGTTATCATAATTAGTTTACTGAACTGGTAAAGTGGTTTGATTTTGAGCTGTGTTATTACAAAATTTAATTGATTTCAGCTATTATTTTAACACCACTATACAATTCAACTGGCACATGTTAATACATATTTGAATGAATATATATAATTTTGTATATTTAAAATAGTAATGCAGAATTTGCCTTTTAAAAAATAGATAGGGGAAGACCGACTTGCTTTCCTATTATGCGCTAAGAACTTGTGCTCTAAGTCGTTTTTGTCCTCACAAAAAACGACTTAATAATTACAATAATTAAAGGGGAACTTTCATTAGATAAGCTATTGTAGTCAGTACTAGGCAGTGACAAAGAAAGTAAGCATCATTATTTAGATACTAAGAAATGAACCCGCTAATTGATATATAATCAAACATTCCGTCAAGTCAATTCAAATTAGCTATGTGACCTACAAAAATT